ATATATATATATATATATATATATATATATACTATATATATTCAAAAAAAAGATTTTATTACGTGAAAAGAATTGGATGTGAAAAATAAAATAAATTTGATATGACTCATTTAAGATTCTTTTCTCTCCTGCGAGAACGCCATATATTTTTTGTTTCATGCGTACGAAAATTAGAATATTTATTTCACGAAATCTGGAGTTGAAAAGATAACGATTTGAAAAATATAAATTTTAAGTAATAAATATAAAAAAATATAAATTTTAGGTAATTAAACAGTCATGACAACAAACTTTTTTGAAACTTTGTTTGTTTCGCTTAAATTATATACATCAACGTAATCAACATGTACACTAATATTGTCATAATGTATGGTCTAATAATTGTTGGTCGTTAATAAAGGCAATTACATGAGGTACCTGTGCTTCTATCGTGATTACATACGACTAATAATGCTAGTTAGTACTTGCTAATAGTAGCGACATTACACATCTCGGTACTAGCCGCTTCAGTATCGTTATTATTGATGATAATGCTTGACACAGCATTAGGATTTATATATCATAATATTATATCTAAATTTGTTTCTTTCTCGAAGTACATTAAATAGGATGTTAATTATTAAAAAAATATATTTCTCATTTATATGCATTATTGATGAAGATACGTATTGTTGAAAAAGAAATTCCCTGCTTACATATTTTTAAGTGATTAAATAAATATAAAGAGAATCTATCGTATTAAATATTAAAACTTTCATTTATTGTATCGAGGAAACTAATGTAGTTTTATCTCACGTGCGAATTGTACAACACAACTAATCAAGATAGTGCCAATAATCGAGGAGACGTAAGCTTCGGTGCTTCTCATTCTCCATCTCCGGATTTAGGACTGACATCTTCCCCTTCTTCCTTATTGGACGTTCTTCCCACCATACAAACTTCATACGATGCTCCTGCAAACTTTATGTTGCAATAACGAAACGCCACTGGTAAAGTCAAAAATAAAATTGACAATTTATAGCGGTTGTACGATAAAACGAGCGTACATACAAGATAAACCGTGTTTTCTAGGAAAATTGCCGATTTAAAAAAGTATATTTAGATAACATTCTGCTGTAAACGAAAATAATAAGATAACAAAAGACGGGGGAACTAAAAACATATCAAAAATAAAATATAATTTATTTAAATATAATTTTAACGGTAATAAGATCATAAAATAAAAATTAAAATGAAAATATACGTACACGTGATTTTAAAGATGAAAGTTATATAATAAGTTGTTTTTTGTTTAAATTGATATGATCGCGGATCGTTTTTGCTTACTGTAGATATATAGGAGAATAAATAAATGCCGATACATTCCACCGCAATGAAATTAAGCTCATTTGTGCGCAATGAGTCGCAAATTGTTATTCTCAGTCGATAATCCATAATTATTCATTACGCTCATACAACCGTAAATAGTAATTATTAATTTAGCCCAACGGCAGCTTTTTGTGCACATTCGGCCGAATGACACTTTGCATTTGTTCAAATTACGAGCCAATCCACAGTGGCACGCCTCTAGCAATAATAATTTCTTGTAATGAACGAAATATTATGCAAAAGCAGAGGAAAATTATAAGATGTTAACAATTGCTTTTCGTTCACACATTCAATATTTTTTCATATATAATATGTAATCATAAATATTATTTCTAGATAAATCTATTCTAATACAATACTTTTCTATATATAATATAGTAAAAATGTAATTTAATATGAAAGAAAATGTATTGTATTAATTAGTCATTTATTAAAAATTTAATGATGTACACATTTTTGCCATTAGCTTTGCCTACATTTAATACAAAATATATCTAATTATGCATACATACTTAATTATGAATTTTTAATTAAAAGTAAGATATTAAAACTAAAATTTTATATAAACATTTATAAAATAAAGACTGTACCGGTGAATATCTGAAAAGCGATAGTACACTTTCCGCTAATGCATTTATTTTGTAAAAGTTAAGTAACTGCATGAAATATGACACACGAAATGTTGCAAATTAAACGTTTGTTTTCAGAAACATTGTTTTTATAAAAATGTAAAAGTTTAGATGTACATGTTTCATATAAAAATTATTACACCTGAACTTTACATCTCTCGATTACACATTTACGATTATATATTTTATAACAGTTTGGATTGCGATTTGTCGCCGAGTGTTCACGATTTTCGTAGAATTGAAAACCGATAATAATTTAATCATAAAAAAGTCACGATCGAGTGACACCGAGTCGCGCGAATCTTGATTCTAATAATTCATTGCGTGTGATGTCGCCTGGTGATGAATCTCGAGGGACAGGCGTCTCTAATTAACCCAATATCCACCAGATATGGGCATTATAGCTGCGTTGTATCCACGTGTTAATCGAATTGTCCCATGCGTGCGGTGCGTCACTCGCGAATCCTCGTGATAAATTCCAGATTTCGAATTATGAATTCTCTTCTCATCCGCGCGTCAATTCCCTTCTATTATCACCTTCGTATCTTCACATTTTGAATATTTCTCTTGAAAATTACAATAAACCGGCCGTTTTCTCTCGACGTGGCACAAGTAAATAAGCAAAAACAAAAGACCGATTCTGAACAAACAGATCCCGCTGCATCTCTCGAAGTGATGCACGCGCGTCAACGATCGCCGCATCTCGCTCGCACCCTCCGTTGAGAGTTTAAAAAAAGAGCAAACAGAACTTAAAGACAAAGCGAAAAATGCCGTTCTGCGAACGTCAACGGGCGGCATCGCGGTGCCTTCGCTTTCGTTTTAATTGTGACTATTCAGAGGCGTCTCCGTGACCGGCATGGAGAACACGCGTCGCGTCGCGTCGCGTCGCGTCGCGTCGCGCTGAACCGAGCGAAGCGGAGCGCGCTGGCCGTGTCGCGTCGTGCCGGGGTGGACGCTACAATAAAAGCCCGCTCTCTTCGTTCCGCGTCTGAAGCGCACGCGATTAAAAAGGGCAAAATATGAATGCACCAGCGGGACGCATTCCGCCGAGCGCGGCGTAACCCCCTTTTTTTTTTTTTTTTCCTAACGGCTACCGTCATGCGACAGTCCGAGGTCCATAGCGTCGCGCGTTTGTTCCCTCTTCCCCCTCCCCCCTCTCCGCCCCTTATTCTGTTCGAATGCGTTTACATTCCCGGCTTTCGGCATGCAACTCGCGCGAAACGCGTACGTTCGCACCGTTCATTGTTGAGTCGTACGAATTAGCCGTGCGCATGTTGAAATTGAGGAAATCAGAAACAAAGAAGCGCAAACGCGTCCCGCTTATGCTTGTTAATGCAAGAGACCCCCAAGGTTTTTTGCTCGAAACTGAAATAACAGCTGGGGAGAAGGACCGCAAATCCCGGAATATGAAAGAAATGCACGAATTTCGATAGAAATTAAAACAGGAACTTTACGCTTATTACATATTGACTCAGGTATTGCTTAAAATGGTAAAATATATAAATATAATTATTATCAATCGTCGCGTAATGTTGCGTTAACATAAATTAATATTATGATACCTGCATATTGGAGTAAAATTCGAGATATTCACCTGTCATAGTAGTAGTCCCTGAAACAAAAAATAAATGCAATTTATATTAGATAAACGATCAATGATAAATATTTTCTAATTATTTAATTAATGTATTATTCAGTTTCATCTTCATTAAAGTTTATAGCGAGTATTTATTTAAAATGATTAATTTTACATGTCACTGAGCAGAGCAGAATATCTAATTTTATATCGCAGATTTCGTATCAACGCGCAAGTGACAATTAAATCGATATAATATTGTTTACTAACGATCACGCAATATAAAAGGTGAAATGCAAGCGTGAAAAACATTCACAAATTCGTGTCGACCAAAATATTCGAATTTATATTTCGCAGTCTATATATTGCGGTGATTGGGCACGAATCGATTGACGATTACCAGAGCGTGTAATTTGAACTACAGGATTCTCCAAAAGAGAAGTAAATATCGTTTACTATTAGCTCGCACGATATAAATTTCGGTGATTCAATGTATCTCATTATTAACTTATTAAATTATATGGTGTATAAAATTGAATAAAAAAGCATTAATATATAAACTTTTCTCCCCATTTTCCCATTATTGAAATATGAGACTTTGGAGAAAGAAATAAATTTATTTTATATAACAATTGTTTTTTTTTTTACAATCCACAATCCTCTTATATATATAACGATTCTTTTTGTTAGAACGCCACTTCTAGAAAAATCGTAGAAAAATTGTAGAAAAATCGTTGAAATCCCAGTGAAGGTAGAAAATGTTAGTTCTTGATAACACTCCTGTCACGCTCCGATCTTATTGTAGAAAATGTACTGTTTTATAAAAAGACTGGTACAATCTTCAACGTTTTTACAATAATCGATTTTATACACGCCACAGGCGTCATAAATTACATTTCTACGATCGCATGAATATATCCGCGTGACTTTGCGAGGTTTTCCAACGGAGTTCCGAAGATTTTCAGACGCGGTGCCAGCAGAGAGCCGACAAAACGAATCTCCCGGTAATCGAATCGCGTCGAACTTTAATCGAATTCGTCCTACGAGGAGCGTTTCGGTCAATAAATGCTCCATTAGCCGCAGTTTAAACGTGCGATTTCTCGTGGCAAAAAGGATGAAATGGCAAAACTTTCCAGTGCGAAACACTGATAAAACGGTTGCGTGATAATGGTTGCCAATTATTTCGATCGAATCGTATATATGTATATTAATATACATTTACATTGTGACAATCTGTAAATTTTTCTAATGTGAGTCTTATGAATCAGAAAAATAACGTAGTTAATGAATCTTGCAGCTTATTCGACAAGTTGATGTATTATTCTAGCTTTTATTTTACTTGAATATTCAAATGTCAGATGGTAATTTGAAAAATAAGAGAAGAAGAGGAGAGAGAGAGAGAGAGAGAGAGAGAGAGAGAGAGACAGAATAACAAATAAGAGAGAGAGAGAGAGACAGAATACAAAATGTACGCGATTTAAAATGCGCCACTTTATATGCATTTTTCAATGATCTTTTTGCCGTATTTTGTTATGGCTTTTCATTCTATTCATTTCGCCGATTTATCTATGTCTTTACTTCTAAATACCCAAATATATTACAAGATAATCTTTCCGTTTGATAACGCGATGTTAAGTAGTAACGAAGCTTTCAGGGAAAACAAGTAAAAGATGCAGACACATTTTCAGATAACAAATGTTATGGCCGTCTTTAGGTATTTGCCGATACTTATGAATACCGAAAGTTAATTAGCCAATAATAAAAATGCTTAACTACCGAAATAAAGTTTATCGTATAAATAAATACGAAGATGTTTTAATACGTCTTTAACATTCTTTCATTTACCTTATTAAGAAACGTTAATTATTTATCGGTAAATGTAAATTACTTAATTGTTAATAAACTTTTCTGTTTTAAAACATTTGTATGTCAAATAATTGTTGACAATTGTTGTATTCGTACGATTCTTTTTCTCTTATTTATTTACGCATGAATTATAGAAAGCTGAATTCGCGAGTACTTTTATGCATCGATCTGCTTCCACGTAATATAATGCAATTAATGGAAAAAAAGATCGAACGCGTTGGAGAATAATTATGGACTTCTATCGTTTCACTAGAGTCGCGATTGTAAAATGCGTGAACAGCATTTGTTGCTGTGAACGCTTTCACAGCGCGTCATGGCGCGTCACATCGGAAAAATAGTTGGCGGAATAGCCGAAAATCGATCACGCACGAAAATCGAAAAACGGAGACACGTCCGAAACACGCGTGCTGCAGAATAAAAAGGACATCGTCCTAAACGGTCGCATGTATCGAAAAAAAAATGGCGCCGCAATTAGGATGTCGGGCACCGACTCTTTGTTATTTAAAATGCCTATAGTTTATTCCGCTCTTTCCTTTTTATTTATTCGTTCGTTGTCGATTGACGACTTTTTGCTGATCACGTACTGGCATTTGCTCCTGTGTCATTTTTATCAAATCGTTTACCGTTTGATGAATTTAGCAAATATTACATATGCCAACGGCAATCGTTCGAAAGTATTTAAGCATGCGTACGGGATAATATAAAATCACGAATGGACCAGAAACAATGTAAATTAAAATATGAATAAAAGAAGAAAAATTATGCTTTGTGATTATAATAGAAGAATCAATTACAATCTTATTGTTACATAATTAATAAAAAAAATATATAAAATATGTTTTAAAGTGAAATTTTTAATAATTCTAATATTAATTATAATAATTATTAATAATCATAATTATCTCATTTTTAATATTTTAATATTTTTTTCAATTAATTTGTAAATTTGTTATCTACAATTTGTTATTTAATTTTAAAGACATATTACAATATAAAAACTACTGTTTCTACAGAATAAATTTAACATATCACATATATTATTTTTATTATTGAATAATTTATTCAAGTTTTTAATGTTATTTAATCTCTAATATTAATTTGTTGACATTAGAATGCCAATATCTCATTTAGCCAGCATATTTCCAAATTACATCGCTACTATTTTTTTTATAAATGAATTTGTTAACAATTCTATAGTTGCGAGTTCTGCGCTCAGAAACGCTATTGTTGTTATTATTATTATTATTATGGTTATTAATGCGATTAATGCGCCTTCGTAACAATTACCAGTGGTGCATGTCCGCAAATTGCGTTTATTACAGAAATTATTTATAAAGTGTGATAGCGCCGAAGAGAGAAGGCGGGTCGAGTGAAGAGAAAAGGAAATGCACGCCAATAAAGCATGCAGTATTTTTGCGAATAAACGTTAAACCATTAACATGCTTTTATGGTAGCCATTTGCGAACTCTATCACTCTTTTTCATCCCCCCTGTTTTCTCTCTCCCGTTCACTAATTTCCCCTGCCGAAATTATCGCCGTTATTCACACTATTCGTGCTATTTCGCCAGTTGACAACAGAAAGCGTATTTGCGGCGAACTGAATATTCCTCCATGAGATGATAAACGCAGAAAACGGGACGCGCGCTCACGTTTGTACCCCTATACATTTTCATATATATTATATATATATATATATATATA